TGTAGACCAATTTTACTTACTATAACCAATTTACGTACTTGTCCACCCCACAGAATAACTACCAGTGCTAGATTCATAGTGACAATACGTCTAAAAAGGTATATTATTTACTAGTTCTGTGAGCGACTTCGTCTACGTAGAATAGTCATTTTGTGCGTCAACATTTTTGTTTTTACAAACCATCTTAATAAATTTAAGCCACGACGTCGGTCGTTTCTTCAAAATAAACTTATAGTACGTAGACATTTTATAAATCACTTCATATTTTTGGATATCTTGAACCGTTTTCATAGCGTGCCCAACGGAAACCAACAATGATAAATAATTTTCCCCCTTTTTTCCACATTTCCCGCTGTTTCTTTACTCTTATTTACAGCATGACGTTTTATAGAATAGCCTTCATCAATAAATGTTTTAACTAACCCAAAAATATTTTTCTAATTCGAACCAGTAGTTTTTGAGATTAGAGCGTTCAAACAAATAAACGATTTCGCTATGTAATTTAAAATTAGCATAGATTGTCACATCAGGTTTATGTTTAAAAAAATAGGGACACGGATGCGATTTACGAGCAACACACTAGTGTGCTGCGTTGGTTGGTGGTATTTAATTTTAAGTATTGAAAGAAAGAGTTGATTAACAGTTATTAAAATTTACAGTAGATAATGTAATCGAGTATTAAAGTTAATTATGTTATCAGTATCAGATTCACTATTTATCAATCATAAAGAAAAAAAAACGAATTGGAATTCCTTTTTTCACGACTGAAAAATACCACACACCTTTTTGAGCCCTTCGTGTGAAATATTTTCAGGGATTGAATTTTATCACGGGGTTTTTTCCTTTCAGAGAATTCATTTTAAAATGAAATTTGTTTATGCACGAAACAAATTACAGACCCACAATCACAAACCAGCCACAACAACACAATCACAAATCAGTATTTATTTTTATTTACTACGGATTGATGTATAACTTAAGACTTTAATGTTTTAAATATTACATTTTTAACGGTAAAATATTATGAATTATATTTTATGAACCGCATAATGAATCAGTTAGTCAGACCAAAATGTAATAAAAGGTGTACGCAGATTACGCCGCCCGAGCGAAGCTCCACAGAAGTCCCTCTCAAATTGATGTCTGCAAAAGTTAAAACGAGATCCTCATTTAAATGAGAATACCTGTAAACATTTCAACTTTTCCTATCCCCGCCATTTTATCTTTTGAATATTATATGACTTCACGCATAATTCGACGGTTATAACTGTCGCGAGGAGTTGGGGGGGAGTTTTACGGAAGTCCATGTAATTACAGGAGTCAGTTAAGTCTTTTAGTTAAATCAGTGTTTTAGTTAAACCTTCACCACCAAATGTGCAATGCATGCGCTTTATTTAAATTAAACACATTTAACGGTTTAAAACGCGAAATATATTTATTTATTTCTCATTTATTTTGACGACAGCCAGACGTTTTGAATGTTTTATATTAAAGAAAGATATTTATTTCGTTTCAAACGGTGTTATGAGTTTTTTTGTATACAACTCACGTAAACTATAGACAAATAAGTATAAATAAATTATATAAATATTTATAAACATGTGTGTGTTGGTACAAATTATACTTTATGAAGTTTTCTGAAAGGGTAGAATAAGTTTTTAATCTACCCTTTCAGAAAATAGTTTTGATATAAGATCCTGGATTCGAATCCCAAGGAAAGAAAAGATTGATAGAGTGCAATAGTCTGTTCAAACCCAAAACCTAATTTAATGTCCTGGACTGTATATACAATACGAGCTGTGTCAGTTAGTGCTTCGTTCACGAGAATCTTTGTTTTGGGCATCCAAATTTGTTTTTGCATCTTTATAAACTTACGCCGTTAGCCACGACGTCGATCGCGTCCCTTCCCGTCGTTCTTGTAAGTTTACTTAAAAGATAGACATATAGCGTCGCGGACTTTTTTTAGATCATTTAAAGAGGAATTATTATTTTTCAATGATTCTAGTCTGAAACCCACAGAGTTAAAAAAATTCCCCCGTTTTGTTCACATTTCCCGCTGTATCTTCGCTTTTATTAATCATAGCGCGATGATTTATAGCATATAGCCTTCCTCGATAAATGTTCTAACCAACACATAAAAAAATTTTCAATTCGAACCCGCGTTCAAAGAAACAAACTCTTCAGCTTTATACAGACATATATTCTTTTAGCTTTTTGTATTTATTTCTAAAACAATTGAATACAGCACACTCATATGTTACATCCAATTTTAAACTCTGTGTAAAAATCTATATATTTTTACTATATCATATAAAATGTAACTATTTATATATATATACTTATAAAGGTGTATACACACGAATCCATGCACCTAATACGGTGTAAGCGTTACACCGTGAATGTATAAACAAGAGGACACGGCTTAAATTGCGTCCAGTGTCAACTTATTAACTATTCCGTGTAATACAGGCGTAATTAAGCTATAAGCTACATAGTACATTACATAGTAAACATGCCTCAAACATGAGGATTAAAATATTCCTAGTCTAGTTAAATGGAATTCAAAGCTTCAAAGAAGGATTTATTCAAACAAAAAAAAGCATTCATAAGTATACCCTTACTTTCTGTACCGTTTATAGACTTTTCTATAAGGTTAGCTTTAAATAAAGGCGTCGTGTCATGTTAAAAATTCAACTAAAGCGATTTTAACGGTTTTAAACGCAACTTTCAACTCGTGACGACTGAAACGCGTATTAAACCGTCAAATTTGTTTTATTTTTATTAACTATAGTAGTAGTTAATTAAAACAAAACAGCAGCAAACGTAGACTATACTTATATAATTTTCTAATAAAACAAAAAACTGTCTTATACAACTCAACACCGACATACACGTATTGCTTCTTTTAATCTATCTTTAAAAAAAGTTGCTTAATATAGGTAGATAAAACTATTCCTATATTGTGTTACATTAGTTAGTATTATATAGTCTATGCAACAGGTGTCACATGAATCCGTTGTAATGTATCTCTACTCTGTATCTTTTCATTCTTGTTTCAAACATTACAAATGTACTTAAGATTTTCCACGTTTTATGACTAAACGTAAAATTAAATATAATCATGTAAATGTAGTTGCACATTTTTTTTTTCTGTTTTAGTGATAGATCTAATCTAGTAATAGTTAATCAGATTTTGCGGGGTGCTAACCAAAATGTGTCTCTCAGGATGTCAAACCTGAAACTTAACGCAATGCTAGGCAGCGATAGTAACCATTTAGACACTAAAGCAGTTACTTGATTTGTCACGACATTTTAAACAACACACACAAAAAAATATGACACACAAAAATACTTAAGTTTTGTGTAATATATCCTACTAGCTGTGTCAGAGATTTCGTCCGCGTAAATTTGCAAACGTCGTGTTCAACTCTATATTTTAATTTTAGCCTGAAGAATGACGGGACGTGATCGCCATCGAGGTAACGATGGCGATCACGTCCCGTCATTCTTGCAAATTTTTAAAGATAGACACATAGTGTTACGAACATTTTATACATCATTTAAAAAGGGGTAATGGTTTTACATATTTTTTGGGTATCTTGAACCGTTGTCGCAGCGTACGCGTTGGAAACCCACAAAATTTTCCCCGTTTTTTTTCACATTTTCTGCCGTTCGCTACTATTTATAACAGTACGATCTTTTCTAGCCTTTCTCGATAAATGCTCTAACCGACACAAATATATTTCTTCAATTCGATCCCGTAGTTCCTGATATAAGCGCGTTCAAACAGACAAACAAACTCTTCAATTATATATATTAGTATAGATATTATAGATGTAATAACTGATGCAAATCACCAATAGTGTCATATCGTCCTTTCAATACGATCATATCAATAAATTAAATTCGCATCGGATTAATTTACATTTATTTCGATATACGATATAATTAATATTGACAAGAGATTTTTGAAGCTTGACTGCTTCAGGCTAGCAATTAACGCAAGCCAATTAAGCTATTCAATTACTGTTGCGTATGGATATAGAATTAATAATTACAAACAAGGAACTATGGTTAATTATATCCTCGTAGCTCTAAGGCTACGAACCACGTAGCATATGTCTACAGATGTGCTACGAGAGTGATTTGTAGTAAACCGAAGGTCTAACACCTCTGCACTGTATATATTTACGCTTAGTACTTAGGTCAATGTTATATATCTATATTGGAAGAGAAAAAGCAATCGGTTACTCGTCTTCTGTATATTTACATGTAAATGTTTAAATAAAACACTTTAACGGTTTAAAACGTCGGGCCGAAGTTAAAAATCATTCAAATAAGTTTAACTAATATATCGCGTTTTAAACCGTTAAAGTGTTTTATTTAAATGTGTACTACTCGCGTAAACTATAGACAGTCTTTTACTTTTATGAAGTTTAGTTTCAGCTAGGTATTTAATTATAATTAAATTATTTATATAGTATATTTTTAACTGATTTATATTTAGATTAAAAATCGGAAATAAATTTAAAAAATGCTTGACTCGAGCAGGACTTAAACCTGCATCGTCAGCGTTCCGTGCTCTAACCAATTGAGCTGATTACATGCGCGAGAGGTGCATGTATCAATAGGTTGAAAAAATTCGCTGCGGTGTAAGACACGGTAGCTCATTTTTACCTATATTAAAATACACTTAGCGTCTTCTATGATTTTTATACACAACAAGGAACATACTTTTTTTCACTTTTTTATCAATGAGGAGAAAAGACATGGCATTCGCATGGAAGATATTCTACTTAAGGTACGCGGTACCCTTTTTTTAGATTTAAACGTCCGGGAATCAAGAATATCCTCGACTTTTCTATCTGTGCTACAGTCCCTCATTTCCTAGGCGGGGTCCATAATGAAATGATTTAGAGATAATTTAGAGCCGTTAGGAATCGAGCTCAAAACATTCATTTTATTTAAGACATTCAAGGCGTTAAATACTTTATTAAACAATGATAAGCATCAATATATATCTTTACTGTGAAAGAGATAGTAGATATAACAAACCTGAAGTGCGAGTAGTCAAGCGGCGTGAGGCGCGGCTTAGCACCGTCGTCAACTTAGTGGCATGTCTATCCACGCGCACTGAACGCGCGACCACCGCTTTTCCACCCACTGCACTACACTTCACTTCACCTCATTTCCCTCAACACAAACACAAGACACTATTACACCTGAAACAAGAGAAAATCATCGTCATTAAAGGTTAGTTTATATAATACATAGATAAATTGTGTAGAAAAATGCCAGATTGATTTTATCCAGATGTTTTTGCGAAAAATAAAGAGACTACCTTTAACAAAACGTTATTTTACTTCCATCATTTCTCTATAAATCATATTTTTATAGCTACGTTTTAGATGGCTTTAGTATGTCTGATTTGTCAATTTTGTTTTACAGCAACATATGGAAGTCTTGAAAGCTTAACTGTTTTAAATTATTTTTAATACACAAAACATATAAAATATTTGTCAGTTAGTACCGCGTACTAAGTACGGATAATTTTAGTAGTGCAACTCACAAAAACCGTATCAATTAACAACTCAAATACAGTGAAACCGACACAGAAGTGTATCTGCCCATTTCTTCCATCGTGATTATACTTATACATATAAATATCACATCATTAGACTACACAGCTTTGTTGTGATTTACGATACAAGTTTACGGAGAAAGAGAAAGCTTGTCGAGGAAAAAACCATTACAGAAGTTTATTCCCCTAAAAGCCTGATGACTCTTCGATTGAACCTCCTCCCTGTCGATTTAATAGAAAATACTTTCCGCTTTTGCTTAATTTTATTAACACGAGTAAACTTTCAAATAGAATGGCGGACGTAAAGTATTTATAACTGAAGTCGTAACTATGCTTCGATGGATGGCCATAAACGTCAACCATATACCATATACACTAGATATAGTTTTCACGTCCATTAGTAAATGGGTATTCGTATGAAATTTAATGATAATAAAACAAGGAGAATAAAATTGATTGAAAACATATTTAATGGCCACCATAAAATATAGCAGAAAAGGTTTAGTGGTTTGTCTATACTCACTTGCCTATTTATTGAACAATACATTTGAAAAATTTGATTCTTTCGATTTAGATGAATTAACAGATTCAATGCTCCAATAGTTAAATTCTGTATTGAGCGCCAGAGACCCAGAGATCGATTGAAGACAAATTATACAAATAATTGCGGTCGTAAAGGGCACAGTAGTCAAACCAACCGATTGAGTAAAAATCGATCAGAGAAATTGATACAAATCTGTGAATGCACCAAGTTATAAAAATGAGTGTAATAATTATAATTAAATTACAATACTAAAGTACTACATCATTTATTGTGTAGGAATCACATAGAAGAGGGCATGTATCAAATACCGTTTCGACAAATTACAACTATCCATCTTCTGTTTACGACACTTACAAAAGGCAAAAAAAAAATGCAAAATCATTATATAATAAAATAACTTCGTTATTAATGTGGACATTTCTTTTATTTATATGTGTTATTTATTATAATTTATTCGCTTAATCAATGTAATAACAGATTATAAATTTAGGAGTAAAAGCCATAAATAACAGATGATGAAAAATAATTTAATTTCTACTTACTTGTTAAGTACAACACTTTGTATTGTTTAAAACCCAAACTATAATATTTAACCGATTTGACGTTTTGCATTGTATTTAGCAGCCTTCCCCCGAGCAAGTAATTTACCCAAGGTTCACTTCTCAAACCGTTAAAAGTGTTTAATTAATGCGTAAACTACACATTTAATACTTGCTGTTTAAAACAGTCATATTTATGTTGCACGACTGAAGCTTAAACAGTTATTAGCTTTGTGTATAAGTGTAAATGTATTTTATTATCACGACGTTTCAACACGCACTGTATAGATAAAAATTATCTTTTTGTGTACCTATTGAATGTAACGCTGATAAGGATTCCCGGTTATTAGAAAGGATTAATATTATACATATTTAAAAGGACAGTAAAATTAGATAATGAATAAATATATTACTACTTAAATATAACTAACCTTTTTTTACTTCAAGCCAAATGAAATTATCCACAAAGTAAATAAAAATTGAACACACAAGTTTACATTTCTTAAGACATAAAAAACTCACATCGTTAGTAACTACTTGAAACGGACTGGTGAAACTACTATGCTGGTGTAATTTTTCCTTTGTTGAGATAATATTCGCGCCAAAAGCAATACTAGGCAACGGTTATCGTTTGAAGTAAAAAAAATACAAATGAGATTTTATTTTATATCATTAATTGATTGTTTTATACGAAATATCTATAAATAAAACTTATGTCCATATCTATAGCTAACATTACCTTCACTAAATACTCATTTGCATCCCCGATACCACAAGCACAGATTAACGAAACACAAACTAAAATCACCACAGATAAAAACGAATCAAGAGAGCGTTAGAAATTTAAATGTAACGTTCGAGCCGCGGGGGTTCCCAACCTTACGTCAACAGGTCCCGTCCCACACTGGCCAGCAGGGACTAGGGCGTCCCGACCGCGCTCGCGCCAAAAATAAATCTCCAGGATATCGTTCAGCGTCGTAAAGCGGCTTTACCTGGTCACTGATGTGTCTTCGATGATTGTCAATTTGCGGTTTGAATTCTAAATCTGTGACGTCATTTATCTTCTTCGATTTTGACGTAAGTTCTTTGTAATGCGAAAATCTTATTACATTTCCTTATTTTAATGACTCAGGACATGAAGTTAAATGCACTAGCTCTATTTTTATTATAATCTGAATATCTGAAGACAAAACAGTACAAACATGTAAATAATGGGAAAATATATAGACATAAATGTAATGAAACTTGAATCGTTTAATAATTTTAAATAAAGTTAAAAATACAAATAAACTAAACAAGACAGATTTACACTGAAAAGTTATAAGGATAGAGTTAGGTCGCTTACAACCAGTTTTTCAGTAAAATTTAATCTTAAAAATTAATTATTTGTGAAACATTTAGTCAACGTCGATCTTTGATGATAGTTAATTATAGTTCTTGCTTAAAGAAAAAAATACTAAAATATCCATGTACTTATTTTTAACAATTTTGATATGAACTATTGTAAAAATAGTCAATAATTTTATGAGCTACATAAGAACGGTGATAAGACATTTTAAACATGTTATACTAAAGCTGTACATTAAAAATATTGATATTTGAATAAAACACTTTAACGGTTTAAAAGGCGATATATTAGTTAAACTTATTTGAAAATTATTTTTAACTTCGGCCCGACGTTTACGTAACTACACGTTTACGTAGACCACGTCACTTACGTAATTATATTATATTATAGTATCACGTAATTTTCAAATAAGTTTAGTTTAATATATCGCGTTTTAAACCGTTAAAGTGTTTTATTTAAATGTGTACTACTCGCGTAAACTATAGACAGTATTTAATGTTGACATTTGGTTTCGAATTTTAAGTAGTTAAATGTTATTATTATAACAAAATTCTGATTATACACAAATTGCTTAACCGGCAAACGTTTTGTTGTTTGCCATTATTGTGAACCAAAGAACCAAATTTGATTAACATAAAAACTGTTTTTGCTTGTTAATTTTTAAATGTAAACATTTACTTTTGCGGACATTTTATAGATCTTTCAAAGGTTTTTGAACTGTTTTCTCAGCGCAACGGAAGCCCTCAAAGATGAATAATTTTTCACAATTTTCCATTCTTTTCTTTCCTCCTATTGATCGCAACTTGTTATATAGCAAATTCTTCAATACATTGTCTATCCAAAACCAAACTAATGCTCCTATTCTTACCAGTAACTCCTGCACAGACTCTTCACTTAAGATTAATATAGATTCCCTAACTTTATCCGAACCGCTGACAACAGAACTGGCTTTTCGAAGCCTCTAAAAATACATGAGCATCCTTTTTAAAACTTACACAGCGGAGTATTGATTGAATACACCCACACATTACACACGAACTCAAACTAGCTCGAAACAAACTTAAGTTCAACGAAATCCGATCGAGCATAACAGTATGCCTAACTAACCTGTGTAACTAAACAGTTGCGAACACCCTTTAACATTTCGCATTCATTTGGTTAGGGTTACCCCTATGTGAATACAAGTAAACACATCGCTGTGTGTGGCCTCTAATTAGCTCCTAAAACGTTATTAAGTGAGATGCGAAGTGGGTTTTCGCGAGAATTATGGTGAGGTGACATTTGGGGAATCGCTTTATAAATAATACGGACCTCCTTTGTTTTTTGCGAAGGTTTTGTTTCGTGTTAGTAATGAAATTCACGGCAACATTTAAAACTGTTCGTCCTTAGTTATTTATAAAAAGTACACATTTAAATAAACACTTTTAACGGTTCGATACAAAAGTCTTAAAAAAATATAAATATTCTATTAAAAATATAAATAAAAAATTCACGCTGTCACCCGCGCGTCCTGCAAAGCCAAGCCATAGGTTTTAAATAAAAAATAAGTAAGCTAATTTATTTCGCATTTTAAACCGTTAAGACTGTATATGTTAAGAGCTTTTAATTGACTGACATTTACATAGATGACATGAGATTTATATCACGTACATACATATCTTTACCCAAACACAATTGGTTTGAAATCGCCACATGAGCACAGATAACACCTTTTTACATTGTATTCTCTGTGCGTATGCTATGCGTATATCTATGCTTCGCAACACACGCCGAGCGGCAGACATGGAAATTAATTTACAGTTTTCGTTTTTGAAGCGAGTCAAAAACACGCGTGTCGCCTAGTTATATTTCAGATTGGCTGTTTGAAGTGCACAGAGGACTGTATCAACGAGTTTTTTTTAGTTGAACCGTACAATTTCCTCGACGCCAAATCAAACTTCACTTTGGCTAAAAAAGAAATAATGCAAACGAAGCTCTTCTCGATAAAATATTTTCTTGGTTTCGGTTTAAAGTACTAGTTAGCGTACAAAATACACTTATTCTATTACACAGGATAAACAAGCTTGAAATTAACTTGACTGACACTAAAATACCCCAGCCATAAATATTTATAAACAAGATGCACTGTGCGTTTTGCTTTGATTATGCAAAAATCCTTAGAACGAAACTAAATCCTTTACGGCTTTTACATTTGTGCACGGTGATGCGCATATTAATAGTCCAGATTGTCCAAAGTAAAAAAATAT